TAATGCCAGAACCACGGGAGGTAGAACCAGGAGGGTCATCAGAATCTGATGTCTGCCGACCTACTTCCAGAGTCAATGAGAGACCCTGTCTCAAAAGCATAAAGCAGACAGTGAGAGAGCAGGACACCTGATGTCCTCCTCCAGCCTCTTATTTATACACACAGGTGCACATACCTATCCATACACATGTACATACACCACACTCAAACACATACATACACATTCACACATGCACACCCACACAAATTTAATTTCATTTATTAAGTTAAACTGCTTTCTATTAACAGTTTATGAGACTTATTCAACCTTAATCAATAGGAAAGTAAACAAATACCTAACTTTTGTAGTTGTGGAAATTTAAATCAAGACCTTATCCCTTTCAAGCCCTTTTCTTTCTCTTGAGATGATGGCTGGTATTTCCCATGCTCCCCCATGTCTGTCCTTCCTATAAACTTTTCTGGCACCAAAGGACTACAGGGCATCTAGAATGCAATTCTCCACCCCTCCTCAGAGCCAATGGTCACAAGCCTGTCCTCTGTTCCCACTTGCAGCATCCAGGTGGAATTTAAAATAGAATGAATAGAGACCCAGTTATGTAAAAAGTCACCTCTGGTCTTCTGTTCTATCGTGGGAGTTAAGACCAGCTGGGGTGCTGTTGGTATCAGTTTCCAGTGCATAAGTCTCTGTGATCTGCAGCAGAAATTCTTACAAGAGGGCCCTTAGAAGTCTCGTTCTCTGATGGGCTGCCAGAGGCAGAGTCCAAGGCATATCTGTGCAGGCAGACTTTTTACTGAGTTCCCAGGGACTGAGAGAAAACTACCAAAAGGAACAGCCTCCATTGGGTTCTACATCTAGTAATCTACAACTGTCTTAGGTGGGAGGTGGTATTTATTGGCAGTTAGCAATTTATTTGGCTCCATTGCCTAAGCTGATCAGAGATGACCACAGTCACAGATGCTAGATGAGGGAGAGAGAGAGAGAGAGAGAGAGAGAGACAGAGAGAGAGAGACAGACAGAGAGAGCCCTTGAAATGAATGCAGTCCAGTTGAAATCTGGTTCTTCCTCCTAAATCTCCTTCCCAGAGGGATAGCTTGAAATGCCTCCCTCTCTACTAATTAAACAAGTTCAAGCACACACCGTCTCTATGGAATCAAGACGTTACATATGCTTCAGTCACCTGTGCAGACTTGGAGTCACATTAACAGCATTAATCAAATGTGGGGGTAGCTGAGCTCAGATTATGAGATGGCATATTAGTTCCTATTTCTTGAACAAGTAATGGCATGGCTTTAAAATATTTTAGGACCGTTGGTATGGTTCTGTGGTAGAGCACTTGTCTAGCATTTCTGAGAACCTCAGTTTGATCACCTGCAATCCCTCCCCCTTCAGACAACATTTTATAGAAATGGGTGTCTTCACCTGAGAAAGGTGTCATAGCATAGTGAGCACCAGGCCATATCTCATTTGTCAGTTAATATTTTGTCTTCCTTCCATATTACACAATCAAAACCATTAAATAAGAAAAGAAACTCCTGGAAAAGAAATATTTTAAAATTTGTAGATGGGTATATGCTTTGAATAAACTTATCTTTTCCATTATTTTTCTAATCTAGAGAGCATCAATGTTTATTAGTAAGTGTAGAAAGATGAGCTACCTTATATTAATAGATACAGCTTTGATTGAGTGATTTCCTCCATTTCATAATCCAACACATAAAATATCTGTAACTTCTTTTATTTTCCCAATAAAATTTCATTTGATCTGACAATATTATGACAAATGATAACTTGACCATTTAAAAATATTCCTGTGATTAAAAATAATGCATATTCATTGAATTTCAAACACAAACATGATGGTAAAAATATAAGATGCCTGTGTCCCACCCCAGCAGGTCTTAGACACAAGCCTGTGAAAGAGGAGACTTTCTTCCTTTTTAGAGGAAAACTCCAGTAAGAGAGTTCAGTCTCACAGATAGTTTTTGATTACTTTACAGATGGGAAAACGGATTCATTGTTCAAATGGGTTCCCAAAATTATCATTACTGCTTAGAGCACCAGTCAGCCCAGTTCCTTCCACTGCTCTTCCCAGCCCATAAACTCCACAGGCAGCAATGAGAGGGAAATAAAGATACCTCCTTGCAAAATGTGACCTGCCTCAGAGACATTCACTTCCCAGAGAGCTCCTTAGGGGAAGTCTCCAGTGTGGGATTTGTTCATGTTAGAAACAAACAACTTTCGATGGAGATGGTATGTGCTTGACGCAAGGAACCCAGGGACACAAGGAGAAATTTACACCCAACAACCTACCAATCTGGGATTTGATGAGAACAAAAAGCCAGTGGTAGTTTTGAGTGAGGTTGTGTGGCAGACAGAACGGGCTGTCCAAAATAAGGCAGGACTGCCTACTGACTCTATGATGACTTAGCAGAGGAATCTCAAGCGAACATCCTAATCTTCCCCAAATAATTGCCCTGTCTATAAAATTAGTATAAATTGTAAGTATTGAAAGAGGTAGAAAAAGAAGAGACAGAGATAGAGGGCTTACTGGGCTCAATGAGTGAAGCCTGATGACCTGAGTTAGAATCTGGTGACCTACAAAGTAGAGTTTACAGTGCCTGACACAAAATGGGCACTCACTTTTCTGCTCACTGAATGACAAACTTACTTCTTCAGCTGGGTGAACTAATGGAAATATGTCTGCTTCGCTATAGAAGTACACACAGAACACCCCTCAAGGCCTGAGACCATGTGAAAGAGATGCAGGACCTAGAATTCTGTGTTAGATTTCAAGATGTTTGAAATGAACTGGAATGGTTTGGAATCAGTGGACTGATTCCCACAATAGTATACTCTGCTGTTTCCCCTGAGTCTTTAGCTGGATGCCAGCGCGGCATTTGGAGGACCCTTCCCTGCAGACCCATCTTCCTATATTTGTTCATGGCATCTTCCTGTATTTGTTCATGGCACCCTATATTCCCCACATGTATTGTATCGTACTGTAACTGCTGCTCTACTGGTCTGTTTTGCCATGTATATTATGTGTTCTACAACCACGTGACTCAGTGCTATTCTCACATTTTAATACAGCATGGTCTCAATATATATTTTTAATAAAAGAAATCAAACAATCTCTTTGAAACCTTTACCACAGTTGGCCCTAAAATCCAGTGTAAGAGACTGATGTTCTCCACAGTCTCCTCCCATTCCAAGACTGCACCCGTTCCAGTTTCCTTTACAAGAAGGCTGTGTCTCTAGTTCCAGCATTTAGATCATTTAGGTATCTGCTCAGGATGTTCCACATCACATTACTCCACTCAATACATTGTGCCTAACAAGAGGATCTGGTGCACTGGGTACAACATAACAGGGGTACAACAATGAATGCAACATGGTGCCCTCTTGGAGAAGCTCACAAGATAAAATGAGCTTGGATGAATGCTCTGATTTTCAGAGAGGTCATTAACCATTAGTCAAAATATTTCTGAATCAGTAACCATACGCTGTCATCAACTTGATCCTCTAAAAACTACAATGTGGCTTTAGGACCTGGTACACAGTGTACAAGCAATAAATATTTGCTGGAAAAAAAAAGTGAATGGGACAGGATGCTAGTTTCAGTGAGCTGTTACTGATCAAGGCTGATGCTGAGGGTTAGAAGCAGCAAATGCCATCAAAGCCTTCTCATGAGTTAGGCTGATTGGGGGCAACTGCTGACATGATACTTCCACCTGGAGAGTTTATTAATGTTCCAGAAGTCCGCCCGGAGCAGGTGATGCTTTTCAGAAACATTTCTGAAAATGTTTCTGTAATGTAAGTAAGTGGGGTAGGCCTTTCTGATGCCACTGCTAAGCATATTCTGAGTGCCTTCAGAGAGTTTTTGAAGACAAAACACTGGCTAACTAACCTTCCAAAACTATCTGTGCCAGAACACTTGCTGCTTCTAAGTTGCTTTTGGCCAAAGCATAAGCTGGCAATACCATTTACTGAAAATCTCCATTACCCATAGTCTGAAATTTATTTTGCTTTAGATTTGTATGGCTGGCTATTTTTTACACTTGGGAAAGGGGGTCTTTCTAAATTTCCACTGCACTGAGCACATAGTTGGTACAGAATACAATGTTTTTGCATTCCTTATTGTTCCTTATTGTTTCCTTACTGTTGTTTTCAATGGGCAGCCCTGTGCAAAGTCTCCCTGAGGATGACTGTGGGTCTGAAGAGGTTAGAGCTAACCCCTATCTAGTCTAGAATTTGACAGACAGCTCTCAGCATTTCTCTGCCATTTTTGCTTAGGATGAATGGTACTCTCAAAGGTTGCAGGAAATAAGACAAAAGGAAAAAAGCAATCGCAGAACCCAATTAAAATATGATAGATTTGATATCACACTAAAACAGCACATGCCTAAATCATGAAGAACATAAGCCGTATAGCTCCGGGTCCGTTCTTTCTCCTGGAAAAGGGACCTCAAGCTGGGTGTTGGAAGGTCAGGGTTTTTTGGTACCAACTTTGACTTTAAAAAGATAATTCGCCTGGGAGATGAAGGACAAGAAAGAGGGGAGGGGTGAGTTTTCCAGTCACTCTACTCAGAGGGTAAATCCAGAAGTGACTGGGTGGGTGAGACTCAAACTTCTAACAAAGCCACATCTTCACCCAGGATGCTAAGACATCACTCCCTTACTCTTTGGGTTCACCCAATCAGGCAGTGCCTGCTCTAAGGGCGCCGGGACAGGAGGAAACGTTGTGAGACTCCCGGGTCTGATCAAACTGTCAGACAGGGTCAGCCCAGGAGTCCCCCCCACCCCACCCCCCACCCCCGTAGAGCCCACTGTTAGCCAATGAGAGACTGATGTTTCAGGATGATGAGCTGCGGGTCTGCTGCTGGGCCAATCAGGAGCCAGGCGCGGTCAGGGGGAGGAGAAGCAAAGAGAAGCCCAGGCGATGGAGACACCGAGACATCAACAGAAGTTTCTCACCTTGGAATGCAAGAGACGCTCCCACATCTCCTGCACATCTCCCACTCCGCGAAGAACTCCAGGCCACTCTCTCCACCTCGTACTAGGGGACTGCTGAGAGTCTTTGCCATTGCTGCCCTTCTCTTTAATGTGATCTGCCAGGAGAAAGAGGGCAAGGGTCAACTGGGTCCTAGGAAACTGACCTCTGGCCCTGGGGGCCGAGAGAGGAGAGAGAGAGAGAGAGAGAGAGAGAGAGAGAGAGAGAGAGAGAGACAGACAGACAGACAGACAGACAGACAGACAGAAGTGGCTGGGCCTGGGGGACTCCATGCGTGGGCCATGGACAGAGCTGCGCTCCTGGCACTGCCTCGCTTGTGCGCGCTGTGGGCTGCGGTGCTCGCGCTGTTCCCTTGCGGAGCCCAGGGCAACTGGATGTGAGTATGGGTACTGAGAAGCATGTGCGGCTAAAGGAATGACCAGGGTCTGGGAACTTTACACTCAGGCCAGGGGGAAAAGGGACTGCGGACCTAATTTGAGGAAAAGCTTATGGGATTGGGGAGGAGTGCAGGAGATAGGCTTACTGCAGGGGCTCGGTGTCTCACAGGTGGTTGGGCATCGCCTCCTTCGGGGTTCCTGAGAAGCTGGGCTGCGCCAGCTTGCCACTAAACAGCCGCCAGAAGGAGCTGTGCAAGAGGAAACCTTACCTGCTGCCCAGCATCCGCGAGGGCGCCAGGCTGGGCATTCAGGAGTGCAGGAGCCAGTTCCGACACGAGAGATGGAACTGCAAGGTCGCCACACCCGCCGCAGCCCCGCCGGACACCGGTCCCCTCTTTGGCTATGAGTTGAGCAGTGGTGAGTCCCGGGAACCCTTGGGGTTGGAGGAAAGTAGAAGGCGACAACTTTTCTGCCAGAGCCTTCCAGAGAGCGAATAGCGCTCGCATAGTCCCGCGCTCTCTAATTCGGGGTATGGGGGCCAGACCCGCGGGCGCAGGTACGGTCCTGGAGAGGGACTCCCCCAGTCCAGACGGACGCAGGGGCGCGGGGGGGGGGGGCTGCAGCTCTTCATCCTTCCCGCGGCTCCCCCCAGAATTGCAGGAAAACTGTGAGTCCGCTACCCGGTCGACCCCTCGGACCCCGGGGAGCCCAGCTCCATGGGTGACCAGCTGGACAAACACGAGCTCTGCAGCCAGGAACGCTGTCGCTGCATCTGCTTTGATTTAAGCAGGTCTGTGGCCACAAGGAGCTCCGGACAAGTGGCTAATTGAAGCACAGCCCCAGGTTTTATTGACCTCTTGGAGCGCCAGGTTTGCTGCACCCTGGTGACTTTAAAGGAACTGTCACCTGAGCCCGACTTCTTTTGCCTCCTCCTGTTTTCTGTTCCCTCCATCTCTCCCAGACTGGGCACGCTCCCCGCGGTGTGCGAAGGTGCAGTGAATTAAAGTTCTTTTTACACGTGCATGGTGACTTAGCGACGATAAAGGTAACAGGAGTTAGGATGCTTCCTGGGATATCAGCAGAGACAAAGAATTTTAGGCCTGGGGCGTTGAAAAACACGTTGTCGTTTTTCTCATTCGTTTCGGTTCTCACTGCACCTTTGACCCTTCCCTACTCAGTCTCTGCACTCACCGCCTCAAAGCAGCAGTGAGTTTTGGCCCTCACGTACTTCTGAAGGATCCCTGGTCTAAAGAGGAAGGAAAAGGAAAAGAAAAAGAAAGAAAAATGAGAGACAGAAATGATGTGTCCTTCACAGTTGCTGAAACGCAGAAGCTTTTGCTGCCGGAAAGGTTTATTGGACAACCGGCGTGAAGCTGTTTCTATTCCAATCTAAACATCTGGAAAGAAAAAAGTCGCCTGCTGAGTCCCTTCTAGTCTATTTTATGAATGTCCTAATGGAACTTTAATTTACAAAGATTTTTAACTCCAACTGTACTGCAGGACTGCAAATGAAGCTATTTCAAAATAGGCTGCTGCCCCACAGCAATTCGGTTTTTGCAAGTTAGGTTTCAGTTATCTTATTTCATTACTTAGAAGACTGTAAGAGATTAGCTATACTATGTAAAATGCTGTTTCATATTAATAGCAGTGATTGTTAATCACAATAGTCCCTTTTTAAAAACGTCTTTAATGTGAAAGTAATACTTATCTACTAATTTCTTGATCATTGCTTAATTTTAGTTTGTGTTCTAGCATGTGTTACCTATTTTTTAAAAAAAAAAGCCTCACTTTTCAACTTGTATTTTGTGAGTGCAGCATACTCTTCAAAAGATAAGGAATGTTTTACTTTTTTATTACATGTATGCTATCCATGCAGAGTTTACATTCAACTTATACTAAGAAACTATTACTGTCTATGAAGCACAAAAGCTAGGTACTAGTGCATTCGCAGATTTAAAAGACAAGCGTGAATTGTATTAGGTGAGAATAAAGTGTGACATTACAGTATATGACAGTCCCCTGATGTAGAATTCTGAAAAGTAATGCTGCTTTGTTTTTAAAGGCTAGAACAGCAGATTTTCCTTTCTAAATATGTACTCCTTACAGCATCCATTGTAAGCACTTGAAAAATTGCCTCCCTGGTAAGAGGATGTGTAAGAAGCTCTGTTCTGAACATAAACAGAAAATGATGTGGCTCTGTAACTCATAGACTTGTGTTTCTCTTTTTCCTAGGCACCAAGGAGACAGCATTCATTTATGCTGTGATGGCTGCAGGCCTGGTGCACTCTGTGACTAGGTCGTGCAGTGCAGGAAACATGACAGAATGCTCCTGCGATACCACCTTACAGAATGGTGGCTCAGCAAGTGAAGGCTGGCATTGGGGGGGATGCTCTGATGATGTCCAGTACGGCATGTGGTTCAGCAGAAAGTTCCTAGATTTCCCCATCAGAAATACCACAGAAAAAGAAAGCAAAGTATTGCTGGCCATGAACCTACACAACAATGAAGCTGGACGGCAGGTATGTACTAGAAAATGGAGTAAAACTCCAGTGTCATTAAGTAAACAATCCTAGGGTTAATGCTTCTGGATGAATTCATACAGGTGATTTAAAAGCCAAACACTGGCAATACAAGAAATAGACATGTATATATTCCTTCATGAGTGTGTATTGACCACAACGGTTTAGTTTGGGCAATACCTCTGATATGAGTTAAATCTTGGAGTAGAGTGTAGTAGTATTTGTATACTTAGTGTATCTAGAACATTAGCTATGAAATAATAGATATGTGTCTGTTGTTTAATTGGTTCTACCCCCGTACCTGGTTACTGGCACTACCACTATAGGATTTTTGGTATCATTGTTTAATGGGACTGAATCTAGTGTAATTCTCCCCAATATTTTGATTATTATTCTAAATTCACTTTTTAGTAGGCAATAACTCTTAAACATGCTGTAAGTTTTGTCCTTATTTTCTCTAAAAAACTTTCTTAGAAAATACACAATCAATATTTTTGTAAAGCAAAAAATTTTATGGAAAATACTTATTTTTATTTAAGTTCAGTTAAAAAATCCATAAGCATAAAGCTATAGCTCTATTAAATGTATGGGTATTTTAAAATATAATTATATTAAGGATGGGTTGAGGGGAGGTGAATGTAAAGGGGTACAACCTACTGAACTCCTTTATGAATTCTGAGTTTTCACATTGCTTTCTTACAAAGGAATATGTCTAGCTTAACTTAGCTTTTATATATTTACATTTCTGAATATTGATACAATAAAGATTGGGTTCCACAACACCATTGAATTAGTTGACAATTCATAGTAACTTTCCTAAAAGACTGTAACATTTTTATGAACACATATTTTCTATATCAAAATAAACTTTTCAAGACAGACGTATCTACATGTATTATATATTACTGCAAATTTCCAACAATCTGTAAAGGTCCGCAGTACTCACTGCCATGTGCCACAGTCTCCTGAAGTAAATTCAAACAAGTATTAACATCTCTCAGGAATAGTTAAAGTATATGTTGCATTTGTTTTTACATTTTTGGCAAGTGAATAATGGGGCTCATTCAGAATTGTTGGAAGCTCCAGCCAATTTTCTTTATTTAACTGCCCTACTTTAAAATACAAAAACGTCAGTAAATATATCACTGTAATTCTTCAAGTTCACATTTCAGTTTTCAATTCGAGTATTTAATTCAAAAAAAGCAAAATAAAAAACAAGAAAATCAATAAATAGTTGTCCTTTTTCTCTATTTTTGTTCAGAAGTTTCATAAGTTATTTTATACCACTAACATAACTCTTGTTTAGCACTGCAGTTAGGCACCCACCTCTTTCCTTTAAGGCTTTTCACTAAAAAAAGAAGAATGAGATGTTGACTTAAATATTATCCAATAAAGGAATAATTATTATTTCCAACATATTAATATAAAATAGGTTAAATGCAAGCAGCCTATGTCCTTTTAAACTCTAGAGTTAAATTAGAGAGAAATGTCAAAATACATCAAATCAATATATTAAAAAAGAAACAGACATTTATTATTAATATGAAATTTAAATCTTCTTTAGCCATTCTTTAAACAATCTAATGGTGATTTTTTTTTAATAAACTAGAAAACCAAAATTCAGACGTTCATCTCATGGTTGGTTCTCTTAAATAAGTCAAAGTTGTGTCTGGGCTATGAAAGACCATAAAACATTTACACTAAATAAAATGTGTTTTTATTAGTAACATTGAGTAGCCATTCAGTTTTATTTTATCTTGTATGTTTTCCAAATCGGTAATAATATTTGCCTCTTTCATTATTAACATTGATCCTAAAGTGTTATTTGTATTCTGATTTTATTCCACATCAATTTTAATCCACTATTTGATAGAAAACTGTCCTCATTTTACATATATTTTGCTATTTTTCTTTGTTGGTAGAAAATAATTCAGCCTATACATAGGTATTCATTTTGTGAAAATTTCAAGTTTCCTCATTGAATCTTTTTTTCCCCCTCACATTGTTCTAGGTGGGAGCTTAAAATATTACAAAACATTTACCTGGTTATTTTGAGAGTGAAATACTGATGTTTTTCTTGGTCTTTTTTTTAT